TTTAAAAATTAAAAGTAAAATAAAATCTAAAAAAAAATATAATATTCACTATTTTTTTTTCCAATTGCATAAGTTTTGTCTAAAATAGGAAACACATATTAGAATAGGATCAATCTCGTCAACCCGTGTAACATGCTTGTCAATAATGTAAAAGCAAACTATCTCTTCAATGAAAACATTTTGTCATCACTTCAATCAATTTCTCATTATATTTACAATTATTAACATAATACGTATTCTTAAAAGTAGATATTTTTAAGAAACACTTAACTTTATCATCTAATATCCAAGAGACAAGGTTCTTGAAATGATCAAATATGTTAATATTCATGATTTATATATATATATATATATATATATAAAGAAAGCAAAATTGTAATCATTTAGTAGTATTGCATATTTTAAACTGTAAAAAAATTTTCAATCAAAAGAAAGGTGTAATTGTCAATTATGATGAAAGAGAGTGTTTGAAACCTTCTAGTATCATTCTCAACGAGTCTATATTTTAAGTACTTATTACTATTGTTTCTCAGACATTAAGCAAATTTAATAATTATAAACATTGATATTAAAATAAAGTTTGAAATTGAAAACAAGCAAAAAAAGTGAAGAAATCACAAAGTTGTTTTAATATAGATAAAAATTTAAGATTGTAGTTTCTTCTTATGATTACATGTATTGTCTCTCAATTTAGTTTTATTCAATTATATTTGAGTAATTATCAATCATCTAATCAATTATATAATAACAATATTTTTATTTTTATTTTACCCTAAGGATCATAAATAACAACATATAAATAAGAGCATTAAAACATATTGGATTTGATAAATTCAATTAACTAATTAGAAGTTCAATTGATAGATTAATCCTCTTAACTCTTAAACCTAAATTACATCTTGATTCTATTAACTTATTAATGGTACAATCACGTATCAATTAATGATTAGGATTCACCTCTTGGAAGCCTGCAATGTATATAATATCTCTTAAACTAAAAAAAAAATATTAAAATTAGGTAACTCAAAATAACTATTTTTAGCATCAAAACATTTTGTCATCTCTTCAATCAATTTCTCATTATATTTAGAATTACCAACATTACATATATTCTTGAAACCAAACCTTTACGGGAGATGTTTAACTCTATCATTTAATTATCAATAGGCAAGATTCTTCAAATGTTCAAATATGTTAACAACCATGATTATATTTTCTTGAAAAATAAAAATAAAATAGTAATCATTTAGCAATAATGAGATTGACAAAGCCAATTGAGTTCAATTAAATTAGAATACCAGAGTTTGTTTGAATTAGGTGAATTGTGTGAGATAGTAATGAAGATCAATTCAACTTTTTTGAATTTCTAGACATACTATAACTTAATACATAAGATTTAAACAAATAAAACTTGTTTGCTAATAAATAGCTATATCTCATGCTACATGTATTATATTGGACTGATTTTAAAATGAGGTGAAATATCTCGTGTTGAACTACAAACTCAATGCAATAATCACTATAAAAGAAGTTGCATAATGAAAGATACGACTAAGAGTTGTAACGATGAGTTTTAAAATTTGGGTATTGTTTTAGAACCTAAAAAAAATTGTAGAATTGGGAATAATTCAATAGCAATAATTTAAGCACGAATTAGAGATTGAATTTGTGAGGAATATGATGCTACAAACAAGGTTTGATAAGCTTGAGACCATCGCAAGAAAAAAGAAATTTTTTTATAAGATCATTTAAAGTAGGAAGAACCCTAGCAAAAAGAGAACTCTCATAATCATAAGAAAGATTCTTGTTCTAGTACAATCTTATGTAGGCAAATCAGGAGTTTGCCCCAGTCAATTAGGAAAAACTAAAAATAATTATCCCTTAAGTGTAAACATCAATGAGAAGTTATAGTTATTAAAAGAAATATATCTAAGTTCAAGTACTTAGGTTGTAATCCTATTATGGCCAAAATAGTTATACATTTTTCATATTTACACCTTTTATTAAAAATACAAGTCTTGCATGTTCAAATGTAATCTTGGACATTTTTTTCTTCTCATTCTAAGTGGGCTATGATGTGTACATCCTATAATTCATGTTTTGGACTTCATTTCGTAATTGGGGGTCTCACCTTATGGTTGAGCTTCTATTAATGAGCTCAATGATAAATATATATTTTACTAGTATTTTAGTTCAGTTTCTAACAGATTTTTAATAGAAAAGTTGAGTAAGAAAGCTGAAATTCCCATAAAAATGTTAAAGTGTTCAATTCTTTTTAAATAGTTTAGTTAGTTTAGATTTTATGAATTTTCTTTTATATAAATTGCTAATTAGAATAAATTTTTGTAGGAAATTATGAGTTAAGAGTCATGAGGCTAAGGATTTAAGAAGAGAAAGTAGAAGAAAGTGACAAATTTGGACATAAAGAGTGAAGAATCCAAGGTTGAATGTTGGGCGTGTTACTATTGGTGCATAGAGTGACAACTTTGAGGTTAATTCAACAGAACATGATGGGAGTATTCACTATTTCTGTGAAAAGTGAACACTACAGAACATTTGACTAGGAGCATTGGAAGTTGAACTAGTTTCTCTGATCTAATTTAATTGCCAAGATTAATAATCTTGTAATTTTATGATTTCTAACTCTTAATGTAATATTTAATTGAATTACACCTAAGGAATTAGGGTGATTAAGTTGAACATTAGGATCATTAAGTCAAGAGATTGACTTTTGATTTAAACTAGGTGAAATTAATTATCAATCAACTAGAACACTTAAGAGTTCAGAACTTAATTAAATTGTCATTGAGAAATTAGTGAAGTAATTCCCTAACTCCATTATATTAATTTCATTTCAATATTAAATTCATAGCTTTGTTATGTTACAAGTTTATACCTTTTTAAACTTGTTATTTCCAATTCTTATATGATTCAAAACCTTTCAATCATTCGTATGACTTAACTAGCTGTTAATTTGTGAAGTGATACTTAAAAAAACTAATCCATGAGGACTATACTTGAAACTCAAAATTGATTCCAAAATTTATAACTTGCTATAACCATACTAGTGCATTTGTTAGTTGACCCTCTTTGAGTTATATTCTATCTAAAAGTAACACTCAACATATCTTTGAGAGTTCCTTGGATCTTCCTTAATCTAGCTCTAGTTATTGGTCCTCCTAATCCTAATAATGGATTGTCAACTTGGTCTTTTTGCTTGACTTGGTCTCAGGTTTGAGCATCGTCTCTATTGATATTCTCATCATTTTGTTCTTTTTGAAAAACATTTGTCCTCAAAATCTTCAAATTCATCATTTGCATAAAAGAGTCAAGTCAACTTAATTGAAAGTTGCACTTACACCATACTCATATGACAAATCAATTTTATAGGCATTGTAACACACTAAATTTTTTCTTTCAATTTTTTTATGGATATCGTATTAAAAAAATTTAGACCAATAAAAACAAAAGAAAAGTGTCAAGTTAAAAAAAATATTATATATAATTTATTTAGAGTTATATTATTGATATTATTTACTATATAATTTTATTATTATTATTATTATTATTATGTATATTTAATTTCTTATTTTACTTTTTTAATTTTTTTATAAATTTTTAGTTTCAAATAAAATATAATTTATATTAAATTTATTTAATAATAAATTATTATATTTTTTATACTTAAATAAGTTAGAGAGTGATTAAATATTTTAATAGAAATAAGAAGGAATCAAAACTAAACTAATTAAAATTTAAAAAAGAAATAATAATATTATATTAATATATTTTCATATTCTTAATTCTATTATTATTAATATTTAATTATTTAATTATTATTTTAATGTATTATATTATATAAACAAAAATTTCTTAAATATAAATTATATTTTATTTGAAAAAAATAAAAAAATTTATATTACAAATTTATTAAAAAATGATAAAAAATTAAAATAAAATTAAAATATACAATATATATATATATATATATATATATATATATATAAAATAAGACTATATAGTAAATATTATAATTTTAAATAAATTATATATAATAATTTTTTTTAACTTAACATGTGTCTCTTTTTTATTAATTTAAATTTTTTGGATACATACCCATAAAAATTTGTTAGGGTACCACATAATTTACCTTATGATAATAAATAATTATAACAGTGATGATAATACTAGCAGTTATAATTAATAGTTATGTTAATAAAAATAATTAAATTAATTGATGGTGACGATAATATCAATAAATGTTAAGGTAAAAGTGATTATAGAAGTGTTAGTGACACATAATAATAATAATAGTAAATCTAACATGCAAGATGCACACTAATAGTTTAATAACTCAAAATCAATAAGGGTGATACGAATACACAAATCCAAGTGTATTATGTGTCTGTATTTTTTTTTTTCTCATCCAGTTTTAATCAGATCCGATCTGACCAACCTCCGTTAGAATATATGTCTGTATTTAATATGAAAAGGACGTGCATTCGTCATGATTTTGAAGTATTGATGCAAGAGTGCATGGAAGTCTTTTGAAAGAAATAAGATTGAATAAGTTGTTTATATAAAAAAATAAAAAACCAAAACAACTTTTGGATTTACAAATTAAGTTAAATTTATTTCAAAATTTAGTTACAAATCAATTTAACTTGATTTTAATCAAACACGTTTTATTTTGAAATTTACATTTGCAAACTAAATTCGAAAACTTGCATCCAACCCAACTAGACTCTAAGAAAATATACCAAGAACAGCATATAAGGGCTTGGGAGCGTTTAACAGGCTTGAAGAAAAGGCAAGACATGCAAAAACAAATGTTGGTTCCGAATTGAAGTAAGTAACTGTTTGAACTTTTAAATGTTCTTTCAGGAGTAATTGCAAATATATCAATTCTAATAACTGACATAGCAGATTTTAACAATGTGAAGCAAGGAGAATGTACAACTGAAAATGAAATGATCTTGAAATGACCAAATCAAACATCATTACTCATCAGCATCACTTCCAGCTACATGAGCTTCCTGAGCTGCCAAGTAGAGGCTGCCATCAGGTCCCAAAACCTTAAACCTACTCAATAAGAAAGCACTTTCCATCAAAAGTGTGAACAAAAGACAAAGGTAAAACAAAAGCTGTAGAATATGCCTAAACAAACAAAGGTTAACTAATTGGCTACCTTTCAAGGATAAACTTTCCTTCTTTATACTTCTGAGCCTTCTCATGAGCAGCCTCCTAAAACAAAATAAGGTAAAATATATTCAGAACAAAAGTTTCCCAATGTCAACAGCAGGTAAACAAATAAATGACAAACCATGAGCTTTAAAAACTGGTCCTTACATATTTCCATCCAACAATGGACCCGCATGAAACGCAGAATATGTCAACCACTGTGTGTAATCCAGTGATCATCATCCGTTCTTCTTTCTCGCCAAAGGTGACATTCACACTGGATTAGCAAGATGTCATTTGAAGCACTCAATATAACCGTGTATTAATGGTTGTAAGCTTATGTTAATTTAGTAGCGAAAAGGTCAAATAAAACTTACACTTTATCAAAAAGATAAGCTTTCCCATGCCTGCATTGGAAAGACTGAGAGAAAAGTCGGGTTAGATGTCTGCAGGTTCCAAATTTTACTCATGCATTTAGTTTGCATAATGCACTATACAATTTAGGAGTCAAAATTTAAGATACATATTGGCAACACAGGGAAGGTGCACCGGCCTACTTTTCTAATTTCTTCCAAACCTTCTCCTTCACCTAACAAAAATATTTTGTAGAAGCATCTAAGTAAGATTTGATTTCTGACCGATTTCAATGAGGTCATGTGATCCACGTTAGCCAACTTCAACTAATGGAATAAATTTTTACAAGCATCATACAATTGTTGTTTCTCACAGCAAGCATCAATCAGGTGCCATCATCAGGGCAGAGGATTATTTTAATGCTTAAGAAGTTTCATATGAAGACATCCTATACCAATTCTTAAGCAGATGACATATCAAAAGATTGTAGTCCAATAAATTCATGATTTATGAAATTTGAATACACTGACAGAGACAGAATCCATGGTTTAAACAAGTTTGAATATAAAAAAGATTTTACCAAGTTACCTGGGAACAGGGCCATTTAAATATAGATGAAAAGTCAAATTTCGAAATTTGATGTCAACATTTTAGTCAAATTAAGATAAACAGTTTATTTGATAGAAGTCTTTCAAACACTTCACCCTCAATGTTGTCCATTCTGTTTTCTTATTCATTTATCTATTTCCATTCTGTGCATGAGCTTGTTTTGCTTTACTATTTACACAGTTGCACCAATTACAATCTTTGTCAAAAAGAAGAAAACTATATCATCATTGAATTTCGAAAATAATCATCTATGGAAGAAAACTTCTTGCTTAGAACTTTAGCATTTGATCAGAACAAAAATAGTGCAATCACAAGGCCGTTACAAGTATTAAATAATACAAAGCTACATTAAAATGAACTCAAAGCAGTGATTCTTTATTGCTCTCCAAACACGGTTATAGTTATTCCAAATTGCAGATTGTTACACAGCCAAAGAATCACACATCAACAGATTATTATGCATGGACCCAACACCAGAACAACAAAAGAAAAAAACATTTATACATAGAAATGACACATAACGTCACTGAGATGACGATGACAACAACAAGAACCAAGAGTCATGCTACTAGATGAGGTTTCAAAAATCAAATTTTCAGAAATCTAGTTAATAAGAAGGTCTCTTTTAAAATAGAGGAATGCTAATTCTTGAAATGAACTATACACAAACAATGTTTAGAAATTCCCCTAATATCTAAATTTTTTTATCCTCCACATAAGTTGAATCTCTACAATCCTCTCATCATGATCAACCAGCAAGGACCATCACAAGAAAGGGACACACACACACACAGAGTCTCCTCAGGGAATTAAAAATGAAAAGATTTTACTAAAGAGTATTAATGTACCTTCACATTTCCAATGTTGAATGAAGAAAATTGTACATTCAGACACCAAGAAATCATATTCAAGTTTAAGGGAAAAAATAAGGGACAAAAAAAAAAAAAAAGAAACCTTGGAAATGATATCATCAGCAAGTGCAAAATGTGTCTGGCAATGCTTGCAGCTATAGAAGTTTCCTTCAAGATTGATCAAGAATAGCCTTCCCATGTCTCCCTTCAGAAACCACCCACGAAACAGTTAACTGAAATTCCTTTCAAAAAATCAAATTACAAGAAAAAAAATTGAAAAATAATAATTCAACAATCCTAAAATGAAAACGAGAAAACAAAGAGAACTCGGACAACACGTCAAACCCAGAAAAAAACCAATAAAGGAACGAAATTAAAAGCATGCAATGTCACCGAACCAACAAGAAAAAAGAAAAAAATCGGATGAGAAATTAAAAGCATGCAATGTCACCGAACCAACAAGAAAAAAGAAAAAATTAGATGAAAAACAGAATAACAAAAACGTGAATGTGATCGAGAAAATGGGTAAGGAGACGATTACCTAGAAAGAGAACCAGTAGAAAGGGTATGATAAATCAGAGACGAGTGAAACTGCAATGCAATGAATGACTCTCTGAAATTTGGACTTTGTTAATGACAAAGTGAAATGAAAGGGTTATGATGACACTCAGTTACAAACTTTGTGTGCTTTCTTCCTATGCACACACGTCTCTTATGGCATGAACTATGGACTATGTAATGTTATATTGCTATTAGAATTGGACATTTTCGTCAAACATTAAATAAAAATATTTAATGTTTTTAGAATATAAATTACTTAAAAATTTCGCCTTTATGAAAAGAATATAATTCAAAAACTAAATTTATTGAATCTGTTCTTGCGCGTGTGCACATAATTTTCACAAAATCAAACTATTGTTTTTTAAAATTTATAAATATTTTGATTCATCAAATTAAGTTTAATGTAGGAAATAAAAATGTAATTTACAATTGTTTTATTTTAGAATAAATATATATTTAATAATTAAATAATAAACTTTTATAATTTTTAAAATAATTATATATAAACATATATAATAAAAATTATAAATAAATATTTATAAAAACTTAAAAATTTATATAATAAAAATATTTAATATTTCTAAAATAAAAATCATTTAATAATTTCTTCTTTATTAGAAAAATATGATTCAAAAATAAATTTATTAAATCTAGTCTATCATGTGCACAAAGTTTGAACTAAATTATTATTTTTTAAAAGTTTATAAATATTTTGATTCGATAGATTAAACTCAACTAGTTAAATATTTTATTTTAAAATAAATATATATTTTAATAAATAAAGAATAATATTTTATAAATTTTTAAATAGTTACATATATAATAAAATAATTTAACGATAAAATTTTATAAAAATATTTCAATTTAATTCTATAATTAAGAAAAAATTTATAAAAAGTTTAAAATTTTATATTAAATAATAATAAAATATTCAGTAACAATAATGTGTATGAGGCTAAGACAAATTATTTTTTAATTTAATTTACTAAAAAAGTTTATGTCACTAAATTAAATTAGTTTAGTAAATGACTTTTGTAGTAGCTTGCAATACCTATCCATGGTATATATTTGTGAGTCATAATTCTTAAAAGTGAGATACTTTATCAATTTATTCTCTTTGACGTAATGCGTATCACTATATTTTTTATAAAAAAATGTTTTTTTCTGGTCATCTATATATCAAGAGTGTAACTAGCTCTTCAAAATAATAGAATGCAAATTTATTAGTTTTTCATATTATGTTACAGTTTATTTTTAATATATAATTTTAACTCTTTAATTTAGTTTATTTTATCATAACAAAATATTTTTTATTATAAAAATATTTAATTTTAAAAAATATTTAGTATATTTTTAAATTTTTTTATCCAATTTTTTAATTTAATAGTATTTGTATAATATTAAAAAAAATTTCATAGTCTTAAATGTATAGATTAGACATTATAAATTCTTAAAAATCATATCGATATTCACATTAATATTTTAATTCTGACTTCTTGTAAAGAAAAATAATTTTATTATCCATGACAAAATAATTGATTTTATTTTAATTTCTATTTTAAATTTTACATTGTGTCATTTAAATTTTTATTAATGGCTTAGCAAAATTATAAAGTTGAATTATATTTATATATTTTAAGTTATAATAAAATTATAAACAAGTTAATAAAATATAAAAGAATAAATTAAATATATTTTTATATGAATTTAAACTTTCATTTTTAAATGAAAGTATTTTTAATACTTATATGTTTATTTTAATCATGTGGCTGTTAGAAAATAGAAATAGAAGAAAGTTATGTTCATTCTCGTGAATACTTATTTTTTAATTAAGTTTTCTAAAAGAACATTCTCGTGGGAATTTAAGATATTAAGAAAAGGATTTTTCACTTATATGAATAATAACTAACTATGATAATATTTTAGTTTTATTGTTAGATTTTAACTTATGAATGTTTTGTTAGGATTTTTAAGATGCAACGCTTTTAATTTATAAATTATTTTTTATAATTCATAAAGGATTTAAAATTATAATTGAATTATTGATTAATTGTTTCTTTATTGTATTATGGAAGAATTTAGTAAAATTTTAAAACTTTTATTTCTTGCCATTTAATTAATGGAAAGTTTAATAATACTTAAAATGATGAAATTTAACATATAATTAAACATTTATTATCGCAACATAACTTGCTAAATAAAAGTAAAATTTGAACAATAATAAATAATTAACATATTTGGTATTACTCAAATACATAAGTTTACTATTTACAAGTCATAATCAAAATACACTAAGACTTAAATTAAATAATTACAAAATCAAAATACATGAAGTTATAATAAGTAGATCATTCTCACGTCAAAATTCGGAGAATATGATCCTAATCTGAATTAGTCTTCATCAAACCAACCTTTTAGTTTTTCCATTTCTTTTTGTGTCGGGTCCTCGTTATAATAGTCTCTACTATCCGTTGTGACCTCTGTGCCGATTATTTGCTCTTAAGTAAATTTAGCTGGTCTTCCCATGTGATCAAAGTCATGGAAGGAACACACACACACACACACACACAAATAGAGAGTGTGATGGATCCTACTACTAGTAGGATAATCAAAAGAAATATCGTACCCCACGTAATCTCTACGGAAAATACCTCTTTGGATCCACACTCACTAGCTGTAACAAATTACAGTGGTAGACTCTCTATCATTCCCTAGATACATTATTTATTATACTTTCAAAACTCCTTGAGAGGTGGTTAAATGATGAGGAATAACTGGTGGAAAATGTATTACCAACAAATACGATGGCAATTAATGTGGATAATTATGAGATACACTGAGAGTATGGAAGATTGAGATGATTTGGAATCTGGTAGAAACGTAGGGTAGTCAATGTTATTCGACATGGTTGTAAATAAATTAATGAAAGCAAAAGCATAACATGTCCTTACACTCATTTCCTGACTAAACTTCTGACTATACTTTTGCTAAGGGGCTGAGTATTACATACGTTGTATCTGTGTTGCAATAGCTAATTGGCGACTATCTATATATGTGTAAGATCTCATGGAATACAAGAGGCAAGGATTGGCTATGTTAAAGGCCCAAGGGATCTTTAAAGTGCTTAAAGACTGTGATCACAATGTATGAAGAATTGTATACAAGAGAATGATGTATTGCATTATGAGATTATAGGGCATGTGTGATGACATTGCTTATATATATTTGTTATTGTGTTTTGTGAAAATTTTAAAGTGATTATTTTTTGCTCTTGATGAGGAGAAGACTCAACCTTACGTATATTTTCAAGATATAAAAATGACCCTTCATATCGGAATCTCACCACTCTCATAATACATTAAAAAAGTTATGCTAAAGGTCGGACACCTTCGGATTCAGCTTAATGACATATTTTTAATAATTCATATTTCAGTCATTTAATAAACTATGTAACCACTTAGAGAAGTGGTGTGTAAAAATCGATCACCGAGCAAGTGTACCCATTGTCAGAGTAATACTGTGAAAAATAGAGTACTAAGTGTTGTATCCACATGAACTGTTTTTAAGAATTGCTTCCTTAATTACCCAATTGTTAATGAATATGAGATTGAAATTGTGTTGATAAAATTGCTGAAATAAGAGAATAATAAATTAAAAGAAACAAAATTCTTATGATAATAAAATATAAAAAAGCATGACTAAGTGTATTTAAGAGAAATAAGCGAGTATCTAGATTGTAAATCCTTCTAAGTATCCAAATAACTGAAATTCTCCTTCAACTACTTAATTCTAATCCTTTATTGCTGCAGGAAATTTTGAATTAAACCAATACCTTTCTCAAGGATAATAATTCCTAACCCTCGGTTGATCAATCAGAATCTCTTCCTTAATTAATACCCTAGGTTGCATTAAGTTCATTATGAATTTCATTATTAGGGTTATTCCTAATACAGAAAACTTACGTCTTTCTATCTCTAGAAATACATTCAAGTCCCTTTAATTAAGCAATGTTAATTTCATGCAGGAATTTTACTCAAATTCAAACAAGAAAACAAGATGGAAGACAATTGATACTACTTAATTAAACCCAAGAGAAGAAAACATGAAATAACATTAAGAAGAATTCTAGAAGGTTTGGTCACATATGATTCATTACGTCTAGATATTCAAAGGAAAATTAGAACCTAAACATGTAGAAACTACAATTACAAAAGAGAGAAATTAAAGAGTTTGATTTCATTCTCTAGTCGTTATTGACTTCTTCTTTCCCCAGAACTGCCTCCCTCAGGTTTCTGTGTCAAGTTCCCTTTTATATGAATCGTCCTAGGGCTCATCTTCTCGCAAAAGTTTAAATTTTGACGCATGTGAAAGTACACGCTCAAGTACACGGCCATGTACTTTGGCCGTGTACATCTCTGATTTCTAACAATTGCCCGTCAAAGCTTTTTTGAAAAGTACACGCCTATGTACACGGTCATGTACCTTGACCGTGTACATCTCTGGTCTCTATTAATTGGCCTTCACAACTCTTCTAGGAAGTACACGGTCATGTACTTTGACCCTGTACATCTCTGGTTTAGATGATGTCTTTCAATTGACGCGACCAGTGATACACATGTTCATATACACGGGTGTGTA